AACAGAAGCACAATATCCCACCCTCATACTTAGCCCCTTGTTCATTTTGAATGATGCTTATAAAATGTCCTACAGGTTATGGGGAAAGATCTTGACTCAGGGCATGTGGATATGGCCAGGACTAGCAGGCAGAACTAATTAATTCTGGAGTCCTCCCATGGGTGGGGCTCCAGCCGACCTAGGTCAAAGGTGACTCACAAGCTGAGCTGAGCCTGAGTCCCAAGACAAGAACCTCAGTGATGGGACTGATTAGGGCCAACCCACACTGAATTTTGTCCTGTTGATGGGACTCTCCTGGGATGATAAGCCTACTTGTATTTCTAAAAGTGAGATCATTATAGATCTTTGATGCATGTCCATAACTAGACCCACACCTAACACAAGTATGTGGGACTCAGAAAGGGGGAGAAGATAAGGACATCACATGCATATAAGGAAGAGGAGACATTCTTTTCTGTCGGAGGTTGTCCAAGTGTGTGGCTAACGGGAAGAATATGGAGATTTATACATGCTGGGCTAGAGGACACAAAATTCAGATTGCTGCCACCTGCCCTTTCATTTCGACCAACATTACTAGCGCCCCCACTATGTGCAAGATGTGATTCTTGTCCCCAGGAAACTCAAAATACAATGCCAGGGATAGAGATAAACAGCATTCAAGTCAAACAGAATCAAGTAAGAGTCAGGACACAGGTACAAAGGATGTGTTATCATAACAACAAATAAAAAGGAGTGTTTCTGTGGACAGTGGGAGAAAGGAGTGTTGATGTATCTTTAAGGAGACAAGAAGGTCATTCCAGGAGGAAAGAGAATGATCCAGCAAGAGTCCAGAAGATTCAGAGAAGGGAAAGAGACCAAGAAAATGTTATCACCAGAGCAAATAAATGAGCTCCAATCTCCCTGATGATGTCAACTGTCCCCACTTCACTAAACCATTTTCCCAGTTTCCCCCTTCCCAGTATGGCCAAAGGTCTTATTGCTTTGCTGTTTTGTTGTTTTTTTTCCCCCTCCAGGCCCGATCTTTGCTAAAACTGATTTCTCTAAAACCTTGTACTCAAGATTCACCTGTAAGCGTGGCCTCTGTTTCAATACACCTGGGGAACCCACTCAGGACCACCGACATCCACGAAGCTGCTCCCATGTGCCAGACACTGCAAAAGTGCTTCACAACAAATATGTGTGGGGCATATTTGAAAAGTAGCCTTTCATTCACACCCTTGGGTGGTCCACTTCTTGTTGTCCTGGGGTTGGTCTGTGACCAAGGGAAGACTTCAGAAATGATGGCATGTGTCCCTTCCAAGCTTGGCTGCACAAAAGTGTGGCTTCCGTCTTGGATGTTCCCCTCTCTTAGGTCACTCATCTGGGAGAAGTCAATCCAAGCCATGGAGTAAGGAGATGAAGCCTCCTGCCAACAGTCATGGGATTAAACTGGGAATTAAATCATTCAGCTCCTCTGGAGTCTTCAGACTGAGATCCTGTCTGGGAGCTAGACTGCAGCTTCCTGAGTCAGAGGCACCCAAGGGAGCTACTCCCAGATCCCCAGCCCTCGGAGACTGTGTGAGATGATAAATGCCTGTTGGTTTAAGCTCTATGTTCCGGGATCAATTGTTATGCAGCAGTAGACACGGAAATAGTATGTGTGTCTATATCAGTTGATTATTTTTGAGGTACAATTCAACAAGACAAAATGCTCAGATCTGGAGCATTCATTTCAGTGATTTCGACCATTGTATACAAATGTGTAATCACCACTGGAAAAAAGATATACAACCCTCCATCACCGAAGACAATTCCTTTATGCTTTTTCCAGTTAATTCCTATTTCCTATCAGAAAATCGTCTCCATTTTGGTTTCTATCACCTAACTTAGTTTAGCCTACTTTTAATGTCCCCTGAGTGGAATCATGCAACAGGTACTGTTTTGTGTTCCTCTTACCAGAACATTTTTGAGATTTACCCACATTGTGGCATGTATCAGTCGTTTGCTCCTTTTTATTTTATTGCTGCGTTATACCCTATTTTATGAATATACCACAGTCAGTTTCTTTGCATTGTTGGTGGACACTTGGGTTCTTTCTAGTTTTTGGCTGTTCTGAATAAGACTGATATCCTTGTAAAAGTCTTTTTGTCGACTTAAGTTCTCATTTCCCCTGGGTAAATACTTAAGAACAGAAACACTAGTTGGTAATGTAGATCTGTCTCAATTAGAAACAGACAAAAATTTCTCCAAAGAAGTGCTTCATTTTATTCCCACCAGCAATGCATGAGGATTCCAGGTACTTCACATTCTCTCCAAGGTTTGGTATTGTTAGTTCTTGTTTTTTTGTTTTTGTTTTTTCTTTTTCTTTTCTTTTCATGTTTGTGTGTATGCATGTTATTGGGGATTGAACCCCAACTGTACTTTACTACTGAGCTACATCCCAAAATCTTTTTTTTTATTTTGTATTTTGAGACAGGGTCTCACTAAGTTGCTGAGGCTGGCCTTGAATTTGTGATCCTCCTGTTTCAGGTTTTTCAGTTATCAGGATTACAGTGTGCACCACAGCACCCAACTTTTTTTTTTTCTTTTTAAACAGTGCTGGGAACGAACCTAGAACCTAAAGCATATTAGGCAAGAACAACCCCAGCCCCATTGGTCTTTTGCTTTTTTGCCAATTACTGGGAATAAAATGATGTGTTCCTCTGTGGATTTAATATACTTAGTGAGTAATGACGTTATCGTTATTAGACATTCATATCTTCTTTGTGAAGTATCTAAGTTTTATTACTGTTGCCACCTGGAACTTCTGACTACTCAGCTTCCTCCTTGAAAACACTGGTTGTTAAACTAGACCTGTATCCAGTCGTCCCTGGAACCTTACACCAGCCTTTCCCCCAAGGATCTTGCTTTTCTACCCAGTCTTAATGCCGTCCCTCGCCAACCCCCATCTCTACCCCCATGTTCAATTTAGACTCAACAAACATTGCCCTAAAAACTGCAGCCCCAGTAATCACCTACTAAATATCTGCCCTACCCCCAGCCCTGGGCTCTTAATGTGAGGAAATAATAAAGATAAGAGCAGGGGCAGGCTGGTAAATATTTAACAACTGGCTTTCTGGAAAAAAATAATTAATTAATTTTTAGAGTTTTGCTTGGGGGGATAGGTTTATTGGAACTACATTTACGTCTTTTTCTCTTTTTCCCTATAAATTTTTATTTTCTACATTTATGGCTGGTGTATGGGTCTCTATTCTGGGGACCTCCCATTTAAAATGTACATTCCCCTCCCCAGAAAGATCAACTGGGGTTGTTTCAAAGGCATGATGTAAAGCTCTGTACTTATTTACTAGGATGAAATGAATTGGGGACATCTTTTCCAAACTCTCCTCTCAATTGAATGTCTCATGGACCAGGCAATGCTAGGCAACCAGTTAGTAAGAAGAAAAGAACAAGAGGAAATGCATATATTGGCCATAATGGACTATAAACATTATAATCAGAGTGTGAGAGTATGAGCCAAAAGGGAAAGAATGGATTTTACTGAGAAGGCAGAAGGATGTCATTCTAAGCATTTATTAGCCATAGGGGGTAAAACGTGAGTTTTTGTAACATCTCTACCATTTCATTAACAATGAATAATAGCTCATCACCTTGGCAAACATGTCCTGCACACTTGCTATGTGCCAGGTGCTGTCAATCATTCGTCTGCATTACCTCATTTTCTCCACGCAATGTCTGCAGGAAGAGGTGCTGTTGTTATCCCCACCTCGTAGCTGAGAAATTGGAGGACTGGGGATGTTTAAGCAACTTGCCCAAATCCCAACAGCTAGTAATTGGCAAGGCTAGAATCCCAGCCCAAGTCTTGATCTCCACAGTGGAAAAAACAAAGCTTAACGGGGAACAGAACATGGTTAGGACAAAAAGGGGCCACCATTTAATGAGCAGCAGTTATGCAGTAGGCCACGTGTGCAGGTCACTCCACATCAGATGGCATTCAGAGCACAGCTCTGAAAACAGATCCCAGAAAGCAAATGTATATATTGGGCAATACAAGGAGGCCATTTAACCCAGGCTTACCCCAAATACTCAGGGGATGGGAATAAGATTCATGCCCCCTGTTACTCTCAAGAGCATCCTGGTTTGGTCAGTAAATTATACAGGCACCCTAGGCAATATTATCATGTAGCAGCAGGCTGTGTCCACATGGGGAGGAACAAAATCACCCTGAGAGTGAAAAAAAAAGTCATTTGGTTGTTCTAGCCTTTCCTTTATCTCCATCTCTCCATCCACTAAATGGTGCATTCCATTTAGTGAATGGGATGTGAGAGTATGAGCCAAAGGGAAAGATATGAGCCAAAGGGAAAGCACCTGGCACATAGTTTTTATCACATTACCGTGTCCTACGGGGTTCTGGACCTCATGTATCCCCAGTCTCAAGTCGGCCCTTTGGAAGCATCCACCCAATTCATGTTGACCACAAAGCAGCCAAAGTGGGACCAGGAGCATCTCCAGGTAAGCTAAATGTTGACAGGATCCTGGCTTCTCTGCTCTGAGTGTTCTAGCCCTCCCTGCACACCCAGCAGCTGCAAGAGACAGAAAGAGTATAAGACAGCAACATTCGAAATTGCCAATGCTGCAAATAATCTAGGCCTTTACAATTCTAAGTTATGCTAAGAAAACAAAAAGTAAGCACTTTCCAAAGGTTTCATTTATGCTAGGGGTTAATATCTTGCCTGTAGATATTTTGATGCAAAAGAAAAGAGAAAAAGCAAGAGGTTTGGGATCCATGTCCCAGCCTACTGGATCTCCAAAGACTTCATCACAATTATTTACAATTGATCACAACTCTTGCCCTCCATAACATGGAAGATGGGCAGAGCCACAGGCAGGCAGGTAAAGCTATTGCATGATGTATTACATTTCTTTCCCAAGGAGTTCCATAAAGTGAAGTAAGTTTCTCTAAGGACATCACCTCATGCTGACAGTGGAAAAAAAATAAAGAAGAAGGAGAAGGAGGTGGAGGAGGAGGAGGAGAAGGAGGAGGAGGAGGAGGAAAGGCAAAGGAAAATAGTTTAGGAGGACAGCATAAATCCAATTAAAACCACGGGTAGGACTGGGGGTGTAGCTGGGGTAGAACTTTTGCCTAGCATGTATGAGATCCCAGATTCAATCCCCAGCACCACAAAATAAAAACAAAAACCCTAAACTGAACAGCCCCATTTATTGTTTCTTTATGAAAAATGCATTCAAAATTCCCACTGTGTGTTGGCGCACACCTGTAATCCCAGCAGTGCAGGAGGCTGAGGCAGGAGGATCATGAGTTCAAAGCCAGCCTCAGCAATTTATAGAGTCCCTAAACAACTCAGTAAGATACCGTCTCTGAATAAAATACAAAATATGTCTGGGGATGTGACTCAGTGGTTGAGTGAATATCCCTGGGTTCAATCTCCAGTACAAAAACAAAAACCCTTTAGTTATTACATATCCAGCTCTTCCCAGTTTCAACATTCTTTATCACATATAAGCCTAGATGAAGGTGAGCAGAGGAAGACAAGGTTTTGGGGCCAATGACTTGAGTTTGAATCTTGGCTTTTCCACTTACTGTGTGGCTAAACTCTCTGGACCTGGGCTTGCAATGTCTCCATCAAAGGGCTTTGTGTGAATGGAGTGAAGTAAACAGGGGTGCAGTACTCATAGCACGGCATGAACTTGGCAGATGGTAGCTTATTGATCCTTCATAGCTCTTCCCACACAGAAGTCTCCACGCAGGCCTGTTGAAGGGTTGGCTCCTTCTGCAGAGGACAGCACTGAGGTCTGGAGAGGACATGTGGCTTGTCCAAAGTCACAGCTGGAGAAAGGGAGTTTTCTGGTTCCAAATCCAGTGTTCCATGCAGTATTTTTCTGTGTAACCTTTGGGTTTGAAGTTGTATTTGCATACATACACATCAGATACCAGAAGGAGGAAAATATTCAGGGAGGTCTTTTCTTTGAAATCAGCCTTTGATCTTAACAAAAATTACCTTGTTATTTTCAAATAGAATAACTTTGCAACATGCTCTTTTTTTTTCAGGAGCCTGCAATCCAACCTCACACTTCTGTGAAATAATTGCTTATGCCTTCAGACTGCCGATTCGTGTTTGAGTTCAGACATTGGGTGAGTTACTGAAGTTATTATCAGTCACTGTGTCTTCCATAGACGGGATGAAAGGGGTCGGTATCACAGTCATGTGGCTTTTCTAAAATGCCCCATGTCTTATCTTCAGTTGATAGCAGTACAACATGCTAGATAGAAAGGTCCTGGAAAAACACTCCTGAATTCCTTCGCCTGTACTGAAAACAGATGAAGAAACAGTTAAAGAAATCTGATCCGGGTACCTAAGAATTATTCCTACGCCCTCTTCTGTAGCATGAAGTTGAATTTGATAATCTTTATGGTCTCTTTCCACTCAAAACACTAAATGTTTTATTCTATTCCTCTGCCCCACACTACTTTTCTTATTGGCCTTTTAAAAGTTTGGTCAGATTGGGGTATCCTGTAATATTACTGTTTCCCATTGAAAAATTAAATGGAGATGAGCTAATTTCCAATCTGTTCAAAGTCTGTATTCCTAAGCACCCTGCTCTTGATACCTGATGATAGTATTCCTGACTCAGGGGTAGGGATTTTCTTGGGGTGTAGATAGAGTTTACAATCCAAGATTCACTGGCACCATTTCATAAAGGCACACACCAACAAAGTTCATCTGCTCATCCATCCTATTTCTATTTGACCATTTATTTATTTATTTACTCTTCAAATATTTATCTACCACTTGCTATGGTCCAGGGACAGTGCTAGATCCAGGGGCTGTGGCTGAGATTTAGATCTTGCTCTCCTAGAGATTATAGTAGGAAAGATGGATAAAAACTAATCATTTCATCAAGTCCTTTAAGGAGAAGGACAATATGAGTGGGAACATACAATTTCATGAGCGAGACAACTCCGCCAAGTGGGTGAGAGGATGGGGCGGGACTGAGATCTACCAACAAGGCCCATGTCTTCTTTTTATCCATCCTGATGCTGGGCCGGTTTCTCCATCATGCTATGCCTCAACTTCCTCAGCTGTCACACATAGCTACAGCAGTATCTCGCTCCAAGAACTGTTGTGAGAATTACATGAGACAGCACGTGCAAAACATTTATATCAGTGTCTGGCACTAGCAAGTGCTCAGCCCAGGGTGGGAGGCACACCTGGTCTGTGCTGTGGGACACTCTAAGGAAGGGACCTGTAATGTAATCAGTGGCTCTGGAGGCTGAGTCGGGAGGATCATGAGTTCAAAGCCAGCCCCAGCAACGGCAACTCAGTGAGGCCCTGTCTCTAAATAAAATACAAAATAGGCCTGGGGATGTGGCTCAGTGGTTGAGTGCCCCTGAGTTCAATCCCCAGTACCTGCCTCCTCCCCCCAAAAATAAAAGGGACCTGTAGGCTGGGACATGAAGCATAAATCAGAGGTGAAAAGAGGTTAGGAGATAGGAAAGAAGGAATAGGGAGAGGGAAAGGGAAGGGTAAAGAAAATGTAACAAAAAGGTAAAGATCCAAAACAGAAGAGTCACGGTACTTTAGAAAAAAATAAAGAAGATGCCAGGCATAGTGGTGCATGTTTGTGATTCCAGTGACTTGGGAGGCTGAGGAGGAGGATTGCAAGTCGGAGGCCAGCCTAGGCAACTAAGTGAGACCTTGTCTCATCATAAAAAATTAAAAAGATTTGGAGATGTGGCTCAGTGGTAGAGCATTCCTAAGTTCAATCCCCAGTATAATTAATAATATTAGAGGCTAAGATGAGGCTGGAAAGGACGGACAGCCAGATCCTGCAGCACTTAGTAGGGCTCTTTGTTAAGGGTTTTGGAATCTATCCCAAGAACATTCAGTAATTTGATGAACCATTCATGCAGCTGAAAATTCCCAACAGAAAGGCAAACATCCTATATTTTAATCTTTAAAGGAACATATACTAATTGATAAAGAGTCAGTCTCAATCAAGGAAGTAATAAAATATCTTAGGTTTTTCTGTGAGTGACATCCCTTCACATGTGCCCCTATCTGTACTTCTCTTTTCTCTGTCCCCAGAGGCCATCGCTGCTGTCCTTGAACATCAAAGTGCACTCGCAGAACTGCATTTCATTGTCAAATGATTACATCCAGATAATTATATTATGGCTTTTAGGGACACGTGATCAATTTTTATAAAACATGAAGAAGAGTCTCTAAGAAACTAATATTCAATCCTTCTTCAGTTCTATTTTCCTCTATCTTTTGCTTAGGGCTATAAAATATGCAGTCTTCCAAATCTCTATCTTTTTTTCTTTTTTCATTAGCTTTAAAATTAACTTTTAATAATCCTCAAAAGTCATTCCTATTTTTAGTGATGAGTTAAAAAAAATCAGAAACAAACTGATAAATTAATATACCAGGGATCTTGGAGTCTTTCAGATCTGGGTGCAAATCCTTCCTCAGCTGTGTATTCTGGGCAATTTATTTAATGTTTCTGAGCCTCAGTTTCCCAAATTGTAAAAATAATCATAGTAAGGCTTATATTTCATTGTTGTGAGGACTATATAAGAGAATGCTTATGAATACATCTAAGTCTAGTGTCTTGTAGGAAGGAAGGAGAGAAGAGAGTCCACTAAGATGAATTAATTACAAGGCAATGCATACACATCATGACTGAATTCATCTGTTCCAGAATCATTCAGAAATTTCTCTGAATGACATCTTCTAAAACTATAAAGATAGGTACATTTAAAAAAAAATATTTGGTGCTAGGTATTTCTTTAAATTTACTTTGATAACTTGAGGGACGTGGACTCTATACAATTCAACACATATTCTTCTGAATCAAAGGCAATATCGATTCAAAATTGTTAACTTTTAAAAAGTCACATTGAGAAGTCACCTAAAACTTCTCTGTTGCATTCTTGTGACTTTCAGCCAACCAAGTTTCTTCTTTATGCTCATTATCTTCCAGAATTAAAATAAGAATCAGACTGGGATACTGGGTACACAGGACATCAAGTGGAGCATCTATGGAGAATACTGAGTAGAAAAGAAAAAGGCCACTTTAGATGTCACCCATTCACCAAAGTACTGGGATTATCCTCACTGATAACAGAAAATCCTCTTTAAATGGGACACTTTGCTCCCAGAGACTTTGTAATGTTGATTAGATTAGAAGGTCATCTTAGTAGCCCCGGTAATATAAGAAGTGAGTCTGAAGAGGTTTAAATACTGTATTTGGGGGAATTTGACGCTCAAGGGTAATAAGGTAAATTGCCTAAGATTGTTCTTTTGAAATGACACAGCCGATTTCTGGGATTCTAAGTTTCTGGCTAAAAATTCGCAAACAGTATTTGTTGAACTCAAGAAAGTTATTCTAAGATGAAAAGAATCCCCTGGCCCCTGTCCTCTATAGCTGTGGATGTAGGAATGCCAAGATGAAGTGTCATCTGACAGTGACCAGAACAACAAAGCCAGGCCAGCAGCCATCTGGACACACCTCAAGGTGTGCTCAGGGCATTAGCTGCCTTTTCTAAGTCCTGCATGTCCAGTCCAGGGGGCCACATGGCCACTTTCCTCCATTGCCAGGACAACGAGGGGTGGATAGCAGTGTTGAGTCATAAGTATGTTTCCATAAAACCTTCCACACTCCATCTGTAAACAGTCAAGGAGTCTGCACATCAATGTTCATTTTGCTTCATAAATCACTACTTTATGGTGCCCTGAGAAAAGGAGAGAAAGGTTTAATAGGAAAACAGTAGTGAACCCCACCTTCCATATGACGGGAGGGCACTGAAATGCCACCTACTTCAGGCATTTGAAAGAAAGAACGCAAATATAGTGCAGGCCTTTGTTTCAAGAAGACTGGTAGGGAGAACAGACACCTCAATACAGGGCCTCCACATCTGTGATGGATGTGTTCCAAAATCCCCACGGATAGTATAGAAAGCAATCAAGTAGAACAATTATACAATATACTATAACAAAAATATAAACACAGTCTCTCTTTCTTTCTAAAAACATCTTATTGTGTTGTCCTTGCCCTTCTTCTTGTGACAATGTGAGGGGATGTCATCCCTACAAGATGAGGTGACATAAGTCAGCTGACACTGGCACTGTGATGTAGCGCTGAGCTTCCTTGAACCCAGCACTGAAATACCCCGACTGACAATCTTTGACAGCAGAGCTGGTTGCTGAGTGACCAACAGTGGGTACCGCACAGCCTGGCGATACTGCTAAAGGGATGCTCCCACTTCCAGACCAGAGGGAGTGGGAGGGCGTGAGAGTTCATCCTGTTCCTCAGAAGGACACGTAATGTTAAACTTATGAATTGCTTGTTCTGGAATTTTCCATTTAATATGTTTGGACCATGGTGGATCTGGAGTAATGGAAACTGAGAACTGAGGATGGGGCAGAGTGGGGTGGGCATGACTAGAGGTGATTAAGTGCAATGAGTATTATGAATATCGGGGTAAAACTGTAAGTAGTGACCCAAAGGAGAAGCCATTGAATCCATCTAAAGAAGCGTGGGAGTTGGGAGGGAAAAAAAATCAAAAGAGATAAAATATCTACTATAGACTGTGCACCAAATATGTGGGCTATATGAGATCTTGAGTGCTTTCATTCCATGTTGGAGGGCAGTTGTAAGGTTGAGTGACAATGTCCAATACATCTTTAAAATAAACACTGCACGAGGGAAGGTGGACAGGCTCTACGTCACCCACAGAGGAAGTGGCTCTGGCACTGTGCTTAACTGCCTCTGGGAAGATCCTCAACCCAGAGCCAACCACAGTCTACAGAGAACAGGAAGTCACATGCTCAATTTGAGAGACCCCTCAAAGACCCTTTAGCCCTAAGTCACTGTTTATTGATGCCACTTGCCAATGCTTTAGAATTATGTCTCCTTTCCCTCTAAAAGCCATTCTTTTCTCTTTTTAACTCTGAAGTAGCTGGGCCATCCCTTAATAAGCATGCAATTCTTTTTCGAAGATATTCATATTTCAGATAACATTTGGCAGAAACAGGAGGGGCAGAGAATAAACAGAACCCACAAATGTCGCTGCTCTGCTCAAATAGAACTGAGATGTCCGTGATGTAGTTCATCCCCAGAGTAAAACCCACCCGTCACTCAAATTCTGGAGACTATGTACTGCAGCCAAATAGAAAGAGCAAGACTTAAGCCATGAATGCTGGTTTTAGCCTCCAAATAGTATTAGCAGAAAGGCTGATGCATTTTATTTTTAAGTTCACTTACAGCATTTAGAAGGCACTCAAAAGTATATGAAGAGTGGTAGAATTTTAAAAATGATCCATAAATTGAATCTTGAAAGAAAGCCTGGGGATAAATATGGATGACTGAAATCCCCTTCCACAATGTCAGAATTTCTAATTAAACTATGGGTACCAATAAAAGTATGAGTATCTACAGTCAGTTGTATTAGCATTTAAATATATACCCTCATCTATTTTCATCTAATCTCACCAGTCTGACGCATAGGAATATTTGTGCTTCCTACTTAAAATCTTTACAAAGATTATATTGTCTGTGTCATGCTTTTTAGTCTTGTTGAAGAGGAATGTGTCTGGGTTTTATGTGTATGTGGTTTTACATTTAACAAAATGCCATAGTAATATCTGAATCAATGTGCCAAGGCAAAATCACTTGTTTCTATCATTTTCAGAGTATATGCTTTCTAGTCTTTTCTGTATTCTTAAATTCTTTCTTCAAAGTCAGCCAAGGAGATGATAAAAATATATTTTCTAAATCACACAATATCTTTTTAAAAATCTCTTTTCATATATAGTCCCATCCCTTATTCACCATGTAATTATTCAATTCTTCCCTCACTGGTCTGAGATTTCCTTAGATACTGGACAGAGAGAGATAAAAACTTTAACTTTGGCCACTAACAATAAAGTTGTTACCTAGCTTATCCAAAGTGGCATTGTTGTCCACTTTTTATTTATGCATCTTCTGGTGTCTCCTTTTATTACATACATAACATACTTACTTACTTACTTTATTTATTTATTTTATACTCTTCTATTCTTTCCCTGATCATAAGTTTGAGAGAATTATTTTTATGGGGTAAAAATCAATTCTAAATCCATTTATTGAGCATCTACTATGTGCTAGACATTTTGCTAAGAGTTAGAGATGAACAAATCCTGATTCTTCCCTCTTTTTGCCCTCCCTCCATCTAATCCCTTGTTGAGTCCCATTTGGTGTAACACCAAAATGTGTCAACAGAAAGAATCTGCTTTCCTCCATTTTTCTGTTGCCACCCTTTTGCCTGGAATACTTCAGTTCCAGAACTGCTTCCCTGTTTTTATTCCTGTCACCCTTGAATTCATTTTTCTCACAGAATTCGGGTGATATTTTTGACATACAATCAAATCATGTCACACTTGTGCTTCACTTTCTTCAAAGGCTTACTATTGATTTTGGAATAAAATCAGGACATTTGACTCCTACAGGTTCCTGTAGGATTTGGACCTGTCCCCTTTCTAACCTCTCCCCCACCCACATCACTTCAGATGTACAACTCTCTTTTCAGGCACAATTTGATGCCATAGACAAGTCCTTCTAGAAAATTCCTCCCCTCAGAGTTTAAGTAGGGCTCCTTTGAATCCTTTGGTCTCAGTTTCAATGTCACTCTTTGAAGGAGCATTTCTTAGAATGACCATTTAACATAGCTCTTCCCTTGTTTGTCTTTGTTCCTTGTCTTCTTAGTAACATGAATTCCCTTGGGAAAGACATATGAGCTTATGTGTTTATGGGTGGTCTCCACAACTAGGCACGAGGGCAGGGCTTTTGGTTTTGTTCATCTCTGCATTATGCCTTGTGCTTGAAAGAGTGCTAATTCTGTAGCAGGTGCTAAAATACATTTGTTGAAGACATAAATAAAACTCTGTCAGTGCCCTGAAGACAGAGAGTCTCCCACACAACCAAAGGGCTAGAGATAAGCCCAGAAGGTGAATAACACAGCCAGGTTCTGTTGCTCAAGAAGTTCCTTATTAAGCAAGAAAGCTTTTTTTTTTTTTTTTAAGAATATAGAGCTTTAGAATTTTTAAATGAATACTCAAATATTATACCACATTTTATCTATGTCATACTGAAAATACTTTGTTGTTTTTGTTCTGCATCATCTAATTGCATGACAATCCACTTGACAGTGGTTGAAGTGATTGCGTAATGTGGAAGCACAGGACATAGGGTGGAAATGAATACCCAAGTGCCGAGTGTTATGTTATGGTTTGAATGGGAGAAGTGCCCCCCTAAAGCTCATGTGTGAAGCAAAGCAGCAATGTTTAGTGGTGAAATGATCAGATTATGAGAGCTGTAATTTAATCAGTGAATGGATTAATAATTTCAATGGATTAATGGTTGGTAACTGTAGGCAGGTAGGCTGTGGCTGGAAGAAGTATGTCACTGGGATTGTGCCCTTGGGGATTATATCATCCCTGGCTCCTTGAATTTGAGCTCTCTCTGCTTCCTGGCTACTGTGAACTGAGGGCCCTTCCACCATGATATTCTTCCTCACTTTGGGCCCAGAGCTATGGAGTTGGCTGACTATGGACTGAACCTCTGAAACCAGTCCTCTTCTAAGTTGTCCTTACCATATTGCTCACAGTGATGCAAAACTGACTAACATGATAGGTCACTGTGAATCACCAGAGAAGGCTGAGGCTACAGTCAAAACTACAACCACCCCAGAGGCTTCTGGAACTAAAACTCACAAGTTTGCTGGTTGTTTAGAGGCAGAGATAAGCACAGAACTCTAGAAACAGGAAGCAAAAATGCAGATGACAGGTATAGGGCATTGTAAGTCGGCCCATATTTGATGAAGAGTGAGATAGGCTTGTACCATTTAAATATAGTTCAGGGAACATAAATAATCAGAGAAAGAGGAACTTTCTACAGAAAGGAAGATGGTTTCATAAGCTGTTAGAGACAATGACGCTGCTCAATGTGAACTTCTCTCTTCATGGCCTGTACATTCAGACAATGAGTAAAGATGATTTATGGGCTAGGCGACCTATTATATGACCTACAAATCCACCATTAAATTTTCTCTGCGAACTTGGGAGTGATTTTTTTTTTAATGTAACAAGCTGAGGCTCAGAAACTTTTAAGATACATTCTCAAGGTTCCCAGTAACTGGCAGGTCTTGAATCCAAAAAGTTCTTTTGACTTCCAATCCAGTTGATATTGTCTATGTAATACTCAAAATATTAGACAGAAGTTGGGATTTGACTTTGCCCAACTTTGACAATTCTTTCATTCACTTGGCAATTTAGTTTTCATCCAATTTTATCAAATGAGAAATGCATTTAGAGAATCTCAACAGTAAATTTTAATTTCTGTAAATAAAATGTGCTTTCTGAATGCATTGTATTACATTAAACCAAGCAGTGGAAATAAAGATCTGAATGCACTGGGCTGGAAATGGGAGAAGAATAATTTTAGGCATTTTCCTCATTCTGTTTAAACAGACTGAAGATTCTTTTTGGCAGGAGGCCTTTGTTTAACCAGTGTTACTGAATATAGAATAATCATGGGTGGGGAGTATGTTTTCCTTAATTGAGTATGTTTTCTTGAGATAAATGTGGATCTCAGGCGCCTAACTAAGTTAAAGCAAAAGTTTCCAAATTGTGTAAGGTTGTAAAAACCTTAGAGGGAGACTTCTCAGAGACAGGAAGCACAGAGCAAATGTGCCTACAAGGAGGTTAAAACTGCATTTGCAGATGGGACCACTTCCATTCCCATCACTGACTCTGTCTTCCCTTGCTTCCTGAGTCTCTCCCACAAAGATCATGTCCAAAGGAATGTCCAGGAGGCTATACCATCAGTGCCCCCACTGCTCACCCCCCCTTTGCTCTTGGCTTCAACGCAGACCTCCCCACACACAGAGGCTTTGTGTTTGGGCAATTTAGGCTGAGTGACTGGTTGAATCCTCTTTGGGAAACATTCAATTGTCTTTTTACACTTAAAGGATTAGTCCTTGAAACAAATAGATTGTCCCTTCCCTTCCCTTTGGCCCTATTGATCTAGGAAACCCAAGGAGGACAGGATGCCCACCCAGGTAGCATCTGCATACATGTAGCTAATTTCTTCATTGCTAGCTCAGCTGCAGGAGATGAAAAGGGGAGAGAGCCTTTAAACATTAGGCTTCAGAGGGTCAGTTGGCAACTGGGTTGATTGATGCTGCACCATCACAGACTGGATATTAGTCTCCTAGGGCTGCCATAACAAATTACCATCAATAGGGTGGCTTATACCATATAGAAATTACCTTCCATGGTTCAGGAAGCCGTGATGCCAGAACTGAGGTGTTAGCAGAGAGAGCTTCTTCTTGGAGACCCAAGAGAGGAGTGCTTCCAAGCCTCTCCCAGTTTCTGGTGGCTGTCATCAATCCTTGGTGTTCATGGAATCGTCGCAGAATCACCCTAACTCTGCCTCCATTGTCACAAGGACTTCTCCCTGTGTCTTCTCATCACCTGCTTTTTTTCTAGGTCTCTGTGTCACTTCCTGTGAAGATACCAATAATTGGAAGAGGGCCCAATCAGATAAATCCAGCATAATCTCATCTTAACTAATTGCATCTACAAAGACCCTTTTTCAAAATAAGGCCCTGAGTTAACGTGAATTTTGATGGAATTTATACACACACACACACATATATATATATTTATCTGTAGTTTTCATTTACTTTGCTCAACCAGCCATTGGACATCTTGACCTTGTAAAATATCTATCTAGAAATTTCAGGACAATGAACAAACCCTTACCGCTTACATATACCAAAGTCTAAAATTTCCAAACTTACATTTTGTACTTTGAATTGGGCTTCTTTAGTTATAAAATAACTCCTTGACTGAGTCACACATTATTGTTCCTTGCAAACACCCTTTGGTTGAATTAATGTAATTAATTTTTAATTTCACCCACAAAGAAATGCAGCATGTGAGGAATCTCTCCAACCTGTCCTGATTTTCAGGAGTGCATGACGATCAGATAACCTGTATATCCAACAATTAGGTTCCCTTTGAAACATTCCATTATTCCATTGGCCCAAAAAATAATTTCTGGTCAATTTGAACAGCCAGTTACCTAATGGCTTGCTACTCAAAGTCTGACCTTTGGACCTTCATTAGTAGAGCATGCCAGAAATGCAAAATATCCCAAGGATATACTCAAACCAACTGTATCCGGGTCTGCCTTGAATGTTGATCCATCAGGGATTCGCAAATGCACATTAGAGTTGGAAAACACTGGTCTAAAAATATCTTTGTAAAATTGAACTGAGGGAAACCTGGACTTTGGGATAGGATATTAAGGCCAGGTAAAGTTCCAAGGAGTAGAAAAAAGGTACCTAGGAAGACTGGGGCAAGCACAGATAAAGAGAGTAGAATGTGCAATCATAACTACCAGGGACAAGACATAGTCTAGATACTTTGTTTTGCAGAGATCATCTCTTTTAATATTAAAAAAATTAATAAGCTGGGTACTATAATGATCATGAGCACTATTTTTTCCATTTTTTTATTGCTGCATCATAGTTGTACATTTTGATGGGATTTGTTGTTACATATTTATACATGCACACAATATAATTTGGCCAATATCACTCCTCAGCACTTCTCCCTCCGTGTCTTCCACCCCTTGGTTCCTTTCTTATACTATCTCCTTTTGACTTTTATGAGCACTATTTTATATGTGAGGACACTAAGGCAGAAAGGGTTAGGAATGTGCTCAACATAAGGGTAAGCATTTGACCCTGAAGAGTGAGATTCAAAAATGGAGTTCTTAACCACTAATAGGCTCTTCTGCTTACCAGAGACCAGGTACAGAGGCCCCAACTCACTGGCAAACTGATTATGTTAAACTTTGGTTCAGAGCCCCGCTTGAGCATGCATTTCAGCTCATACTATTTTGAAGGCATAGATAGGCCTGGAATGAATCCATTTCTTTCATTTTAATCAAGTCAGGCAATTGCTCCTGGAACTCATCCTTAGACTCCCAAATTCCAGCCCATTCGCAGGGCTCTGGGATCACCGTCCACTAACACTGACACGACAGCAACTCGTCCTGAGCCTGGAATCTTCCCTCTTGCAGGGCCTTCTTTTGAGCATATGCCTGGAGACAGGTGACTACAGCTTAGCTTCTCTAGTTTTATCCTCTCCTGGGCCACTGGAATAATTTACTCTTACTCAGCAAACCAGTAATTGTGTGTTACATGTAAGTGGTAAGATTTTTAGGCAGATGAGGGTTCTAACTATCTGATGTGATCCTCAAATGGCCCTAATATTTTGCACAATTGTTTGCAATTAAATAAAATCCAAATTGCATTTAGGATGAGAAATGCATTTATAACTTCTTTTGTGTTGGGGGTGGGGGTGGGGAGTCACCACAGGTGTTTCTGATTCATTTACTCTTAGTTCTTAAAAAATATCGCCCTCAGGAAGGATGGATGTTTGTTTGCCATGTCAAGAATATTTTATTGGTTTCCTTTTAGAGAAAAAAAAAATCCACATACAGCCAATTTTAAACTGACTAGAGTGCCCTAAAGATGTTTACAAATTTCAAAATTCTGTTTCTCTCCAAATACCTTCAAAACATTAAGCGGGGCTCTGTAGAGAAATGTGAAAGGAGGTGAAATGTGGAGTCTCACGAGCAGAAGGTTCAAAAATCAGAAAAATCAAGTGAAACTTAGAGGAACTCACAATTTATACTAAGATATTCATACTTTTTGAGAACTGACTTTTATGTTGCATCTGATTATGTTTAATTTCAGTGACTTTTTTCATTCACATCATATTATAAACACATTTACTTACAGACTTCTTTTGTTTATAGACACTAATAACTTTGCATTGATAGAAAATCTTATTACTTTGTATGATCCTGATCATGACTCTGGGGTGAACTTGATCCACTATTATTATCCTCTTTTACAAATAGGAAAACTTGATTGTACCACACGTATACAGCAGAATCAGATCTTTAGATCTTTAGTTCTTAGGGAACTATTTTTTCCCATGACACTCACACAATGGCAGGCAGTTTGGGCAGAGTTGGGAGAAACTCTTGAACTTGTAAGATTTGTCAGGATAAAGTTATCACTACAAATATTTAGCATTAATTAACAACTCACTACCACAATACGCTGGGGAAGCCTTCATAGCCTTCTTGATGATTTGCAACACATAAACCCAACGGGTTCTGTAATCTCTAAACTACCAGCTGCAACAGATTTTACAGGACAACAAGAACTACAGAAAAATAAGTGCCTGTGGCTAGATGGCAACCGTCAAGTTCACAAAGAATAGAGCTTGTGGGAGGGTGATTTCTCTCCTCCCTAAATCCCCAAAATCCTGTGGTTGTTTTTCTCTTCCTTTTTTCTAAGCAGAGAACCTAGAACATTCTATGTGAGCAGAAACTGCATCTCCTTAAATTGAATACATTCATTACAGAGTTGTCCTAGTTTAGTGTCATATTTATGTTTACCTGGCTGGGAGTTAGGCTGTGTTTACCATCTGTGGTGTCAGAAACTAAGATTTCCTGTGTCCCCTGTTGTTTGGGGGTTGTTCTAGACTCCTGAAATAGGGTTTGAGGCTTGCAGTTTTTTTGAGTTGCAATCCCTGGTTATTATACAGAAACATATGATATGTTGGTATGTGTGATGTTCTACAGTCCTGTGATTGGTTCTGTCTTTTCATGAAGCTGAGTTGGGTATTTCCCTTCCCCAGGCTGGTTTGGCCCCTGGTAAAACCCCCATGAGTCAGGCTCCAATGAACTAGTTTCCCTTGAGGCTGGGTCTTATTTAAGAAGAACAGAGAGCTCTGGGTATCTTTCAAACAGCTACTTCCCCTCCTTCCAGAAAGAAGAGTGTTTTTGTTGTTGTTGTTGTTGTTGTTTTCCCCTTGGTCTTCACAGTAGAAACCTGATGGAGGTAAAATTCAGGAAAATGTGGAAAGGCCCCTAGAATTGGACCCTCTAGAGTTTTTCCTTCCGAAACTTGTCCACATGGACCTCTCTAACAATGTCAGTTACCATTCAGGTCACTGGTTTCTGGAGAGGTTTCTGCTTCTGCACTTCTGCTTTTGGTAAACTGAAGTTCTCTGTATGCATCTGTCTGTCCAGTTTTGAAGCAGTAATCTGTGACCTCAGTTCTCTGAAGGGTCTAAGAAGAGTCTCTAGTTTTCAATTTGTTCAGGGTTTTTTTGTTTGTTTGTTTGTTTGTTTGTTTTTCCTTGGATGTATGGCAGTGATGATTTCCAAGTTCTTTCCATGTCACATGGGAAACTGGAACAGCCCTCAGTTTCTGTACACAGTGTTTTGTTTTTTTTTTTTGTTGTTGTTGTTGTTTGTTTGTTTTCCCAGATTCCCTTGAACCTGGAATCTTCCCAAAGGTAGTTGTGGTCCCAAGTCCAAAAACTAATAAAATTAATGGGAATCAAGAGTCTGGAGTCAACAAATTGGGCAAACCATAAGGCGGGACCCAAACTTTGGAACAGCCTCTCTTCTTGAGGTGTTCTGTTCCCAAATGGGCCCACTAAGGGCAGCACTGCCCTTTCAAAGCCCACTGCTGAATACGGGTGATGCAAACAGAATGTTCTCTTATGCTCACAACAACTGCTTTTACACACAGGCCAGTTGTTTAGAACTGCCTCCTGGGAGGGTGACTGAGTTGTTCTGTTTTGTAGATATTTGAGTGCAAAATATATTTGCTCCACATTTTCCAGTGTAACATTCACAGATCAGGGGAAGCCAGTGACATGGAAGAAGAGTGTGTCACTCATGGAAGTTATAGGAAGAGGTTGTTGGGTTTTAGGTAAAGTGAGAGAAAGGAAGCATCACTCATGATCCCAAGTTCACCAACAGAAACCCCAGCCTCTACACAAGAGGGAGAAGAGAAGGGGAATGGAGGACAGAGGGCTAGGAAAAATAGAAAAGAAAGAAATATGAGTCTGCTTTAAGTTTCTTAGAGATCTTAAAAAAGGGAAATGAGAGGTATGGTGGACCTAGTTCTTTAAAGCAGTACTTCTTGAACTTTAATGTGCCTCTAAATCACATGAAGAATCTTGTAAAAATGCAGATTCTGGGCTGGGGTTGTAGCTCAGTGGTAGAGTGCTTGCCTAGCATGTGGGAGGCACTGGGTTTGATTCTCAGCACCATATACAAACAAATAAAAATGATAATAAACATCCATCGATAACTAAAAAAATATTTTAAAAAATTCAGATTCTGATCGAGTGGCTCTGGAACAGGGCTGAAGATTATGCATTTTTAAAAAGCACCCTGGGGACAGTGACAACATTGGTTCTTAGAGCATATTTGAGGAGCAAGAGCTAATGGGGCATCTCTCAGTTCCCCTCTATACTCACTTATTGAAAAACAGTGACATCTACTCACCTTACATCCTGAATTCAACATATATGTCCTTAGTGCAAGATAATCCCATTTCTGGGACAACATCTGGCCTCTTCTCTGTTTCTGGGTCCTCAACGTCACTCAAATATCCCTCC